AAGGGAGGCAGTAGAACAATGCACTAAAATGAGAGAGAGAGAGAGAGACAGAGAGAGGGGAGAGAGAGAAGGAACAAGGGAAGATTGGGGTCGTAATAGTGTTGAGGAAGGGGGGACGCATTTGCATGGGAAAGAATGATAGGAGAGGGTGAGGGGCTCGGTGTGCGTGCGTGTCCAAGCTGTCGATGAGGAGGGTCCATCTCCCATGTACCCGCTGCCCCCGACACGCGCCCACCCCTAACGCCACGCGCCCACCTCAACGTGTCGGCCCGTCACCTTCTCTCTTCTCTCTCTCTAATGTTCAGTGAATTTGAAAATGAAAAAAAATGTGCCATGACTGGTTCTCTGTCTCTCCTACCCAACAACTGTGCCTTCGTAATTCTGCATGGCCACCCTGCAAGAAGATTGCGTTTCGTGGACCAAAAGCTAGTTGATTGATCATGTGCACTGCACTCTTACCCTCATATACCCACTTGTACATCACCTTCAAACAAGCCTTACATATGCAGCATGTTCTTTGTCTAATCCCATGTCAAAATCATTTAGAGAGAGAAAGATAGATATAGAGAGAGAGTAGAGGTTTTTTATCTTAAAGGCCTAAACTACTAAATCTAAAAAAATTAGTTCGTATTCACGAATGAATTATATATTATGAAACTGTTTATTTTTGTTTCAATGAGATCATAATTATTTCTAAACATTATATGTCAAATTGGATACATTGAGGTTGAGTTCGAAAAAAAAAAATTTAACTGAGTTTAGTCAATGACATTCTTACAACTATCCGATTTAAAATTTAACTGACGATAACAATTGTGAATGATACTTTTACAATTATCCGATTTAAAATCTAACTGACACTAACAATTGTGATACTCTTGCACTAACAATTGTGTACTTTTCTATTTAAAAAATTTCCTATTTTTATTTTTACTTTGTTTGAAAAATGAAATCGAAAATATAGAGAGAGAGGAAGAACGATAGATGCTCTAAATATCATAGACTAGACCTAAATGCATGATGAGGCTGTCTTGGTCATTTATGAGAAGAGAGGGTCTCCTCATGATAGTCTTCCCCAACGTTGAGGGCATATCCGTCAAAGCCCACATATGAGTATACCACCGGAATTTGCAATAAAAGACAAGCTTCAAAAACGAAAGGCATGGGCCACGATTTCGTAGGGCCCTCCCTCAAAACAAGACAAACCCGAATCCTCCTCATCACATATCCTATGTTCACCAAACCATGCATCATCTCAATCATCATACATACATATAGGCATGGCATGTACTATGGATGGATGGGCATGTGATGTGGTCCCGTTTGACATGACCTATCATATTCAAGTGGGTGCCAAGTGTCTATTTAAAATGACGTTCGGGATGCCATGTGTCTCTCATGGGACTAGGGCTTGCCCCTCTTTTGGCTAACCTTAGGGGCCCCTATCTTTGGTTTTATATATTTCAAGCTCCACCACCAAAACTTTAACATTTGCCCTTTTTGTGCAATCCCAAAAGACTTTAAAAAGAAAGGAATAAGCCTATTGCCCCCACTTAGGTGAGGTTTCAGTCATAAATAAGGCGAATCAAATTTTATGTCGGTTGGATATCAAATATTTGGACCACTTTAGGGTCATCCATTTCCTATACGTGACAAAAACAAATCTCTCTCTCTCTCTCTCTCTAGAATACTCACTACGGATCTATGAAGTAAAGATGATTTGATATCTAGATTTGGAAAATACCGTGTTTCATGCATCTATTGTTTTATTAAAGCTGAAAGTTTCTAAATCTGCTCATCTTGAATTGCATCAGAGTTCTTAAGAGCATGTATAAGTATTTCAATTTTTATTTTTATTTTTCTACATTGATTGAGCTAAAATTTTGTTTGCCTAATGTTTTTACGGACACCGACCTATTAAAAATATTATAAAAATTTTAAAATAAATAAAATAACCAAAATACTATTTAGATCATTTTGGTCTTTTTATTTTTTTATGACCAATCTTAATATATTTTGTAGATAAGCCCATTGATGGAGAGTCACACTCAAATTTTCATCTTGATATGATTTGCAAAACTAAAATTGTAAAATAGAAGAAACGCGACTTTTTTTTTTTGTTTTTTTTGGGGTAATACAGAGAAAGACAATTGCCGACCGTATTTTTCAAATAGTTTAGGAGTTAGTCTTTTTAAAGTGTTAGCGGAATAATGTCAGTGGAAATGAAAACCACAACGTGGTGACTAGGGTGTCAGGGTGCTACCACCACGACCTCAGCCCCATTCCCAAAAAATGTGAGCTAACATGAGAAGTGTGCACATTTCGTTCTATGAGAAACGTGTGCTTCCATTGGGGGGTAGAAATGCACTCTTCATTGTTGAGAAGCGATGAGAAGTATGGATTTCCTAGTTCAAATTGCTACGTATTGGAAGTTTTAGCTTTTGGCGTCGAAATGTCCAATTGCATAACTTGTGGCTCCCTATCATCATATACTTAATTACCAAATATGTCTCTATTATTTTGAGGGATGTGACATCATCTACACAATATGCATCTCTCTCTCACTGCCTAAGTAGCCTAATGTACCTCTATTATTTGAACTCTCCCTCTCTCTCATATCCTCCTCTACGTATATGTGTACGTTTGTTTCTATGGGTGTGAGGTGGGGTGAAGCGGTTTCATTTTTATGCAAAAAGAGTTTTAAGTGGGGCTCAAACCTTTGGATTGTTTGGGCCTAATAAGGTTGGTTACCTTCTTCTCAAACTAGGGAGCGGATCTTAAATTCTTAATAATAATTGGTACCAACAATTGAGAATCAACTTCTTGAAGTGAAGCATACTAAGCTACAAAATTATTAGGAGCACTTTTGATTTCATTTCTCGAACTGAGAGTGGATTACAGTCGGGACAAAATTATTACGAGCACTAGTGACCCAGTACTCCCACTCCCCTTCTAGAATGATGCCTCTCTCTCTCTCTCTCTCTCTCTCTTGAATTATCTCAGCACGTCCCTGCCAGAATGATGCCTCTCTCTCTCTCCCCCTCTCTCTCTCTCTCTCATATGTTGATCTTCGAAAGGCAAAAAATTATTGAGAGCACTAGGAAATCAACGTACTTCCCAAATCCCATGGGTGGACACCAAATTTAGGACCTGAGAAATAAGGCAATGAGCTTTATAGAAGTTGACCTGCTCAAAAAGATATGAGAGTGCCCTTCAACAAAAAGGGATAAAAGCTCATTGTAATTTCAAATTAATCCTCTGGTCTATAGAAAGCCCATAAACTCTTTCTCGTAAAACAAAAATAACATTCAACTCTTATCTTTTCTATCATCTAAATTATAATATTGATCTTTTCTATTTCTAAGATCACCGTCATTCAAATTGAATTTGTGATGCCGTATTTAAACTACTTGTGAGGTACTCAAGATCAGCAAGAGACATGTGATGAGAAGAGAGAGAAAGCTTTCTAGGGTTTGAATAACGGGAACAATAAAAAGAAAAAAAAAGGGGGTATAGAAGGTTAAATGTCTTTTATTTTAACTTGGAAGAGGTCTATAGGATTTTCATATGCTTAAGGGAGGTTTATTGAAATTATAATTACAGAAATGGGGTACGTTTTTTTCCCAAAAGTAAAAGCATAACTACATGCACTTAAGTTTCTTAACTAGAAAATGCATACAATAAGACTTTTTATACTCAATACAAGAAAATTACAATCAACTTCATCGGTTGGATACAAGATAATGTGGCTCGGCTCAAAAGTCCCCAAGGAAAAAAATTTTACCCAAAATGTCGGATTTCATATATGATAGGGTAAAATAAATGATCTTAACAAGGGATGGCTAGTTTTCTGATATTCAAGTTGGAAACCTTTTTTTTTGACAGTCATCAAGTAGAGGGTACAACACATCAGATTAGAGCAGCACATGAAACTGCACAGACCCTTCTGTGTACAAACCCCAAGTAATATTACAGGGGAATATTATATGTGTGAGACCAAACCCTAAATCCTAGAGGCCTGGCGTGGCTTGGGCCTTGGTGCATGTAGCCACTGACCTTACCCAGCCCTAAGCCCGGTCCCATGCCCAACCATGTACTTTTAAAACACATAACGAGAAGTTATTTACTAACGTTCAAGAAAAAGCATTTACAAAGTATGTCGTATCGTTCTTAGTTCAGAATTGAACACGTAGCGCGCATCAGTAATACACACATTGTTTAGTTTATTCACAACTCACGACAAACAAGAAAAAACTAAACCTTTTAAAACCTGGTTGCAATCTGATATAAAGATCTTATTACCACAAGAAATGCATATGAACTTCTTTTTTTAATACACATACCAGCACACCGTAAAAGTAATTTAAAAATAAAAAAAGAGTCGTATCCATAAATAAATAAATAAAAAGATTAATACAAGTTTATTTCAAGCAAATTTCATCAAGCCCCTCGACAAATTTCATCAAACCCTCCACCCTTGACATAGGAGTTGGGAATAAATGCCAATGCATACCCTTCTAAAACTTACAGCCTGGCCAGGCCAAACCTACATCACAGGGCCACTCATGTCGGGGCAAGGCTGAGGGCCGGCTTCCATGGCTGGGCCACCTGTATTGGCCCAAGCCTGGCATTGGGGCTACATCTTAGGGCCCATACCGTGGCTCAGGAAGGCAGGGTCGCTCTTTGCCACCCCCAAAGAATGAACTCCCGTTAACACTAAAGCTAGAGTTACTACAATATAACATGTAAGTATGAAGTGCATAACTCTTTCATTTCCTAAATCACCCAAAAGAAAACAAACTAATAAGCAAACTGAAGTTCGCTCTAGATCAGGGAAATGAAAATATAATCTTCAGAACAGAATCTCATCCAAACAAGTAGCCATATAACACATTTAATGTAAATATTCAAAATATCACATCCAACAAAACATTGAATGAATGCAACATTTTGATTGATTTCTGACAAATAAAGAATGAAACAACATACAGGCATGACTATAACACAAAGGCTGTCAAAGGCGCATTTGGATAATAGTTAAATCAATCATCTCAAAATGCAATTACACAACAATAAAGAAAATTGATCCACAAAGAACACTAAATTTCCCACTTCATGGGTAAAAAACCCATATTCATTAAACAACAAACAAGTTTGTGTAGATATTACACAAACAAATTAAACAGGCAAGAAGAATGCTGCAATGCCGTTCATTTACTGGGTGCGATTTCTGTTGTTCTCAGCATTCCTTATTGGATAGAAATAGGGATGAGCCTAGCATTCACGCATAAGTAACAGGCTATTAAAATGCACTGATAAATTAATGCGAATAAGATGAGAAACTAAAAAAAGAAAAACAATACCATTGCTTCTTTTGCAGTCGGCCTTTCTTGGTGGTCATAACGAAGCAACTTATCCAAAAAGTCAATAGCCTGCGTAATAGCAAATCATGTAACTCCACCTAACTAACTAAGAGAGTGTGCAAATTAAGCCCAAGTATATTCACACATCCGCATGTTTGAGAGAGATCAACATCAAAATTGATAAATACAACTTCAGAATCAAGGTGGTTAAGTTGTTCTCAATTACATTTTTTTTTTTTAGATTGACTAAATTATGGATTTCGAGTTCTTTGTGATTGACAATCCACTTATTTCTAAGGAAAAGGAATGACCCCACCATTTTAAAGTACTCAACAGCATCATTTTGCCATGCCATGTCTTTTAGGGGCCGTTTGGATACCTGTCTATATTACTGACATAATACATTACTGCGTAATACATTAATGGGTAGTATTTAGATGCAACCTGAGAAATACATTGTTATCGTTCCGCTATGTCTAGAAGAAATATAAAAAATGCATTACCAACATTTTACCAGCACGTGCCTATAAACGATCATTTCTTTCTTTTTTATCACAAAATTCCACTAAAATGCAAAATTACTATTTCTTTCTTTTTTGTTACAAAATTAAACTAAATATGGAATTAAAATCATCATCACACCATTCTAAAAAGATTTCTGATAATAATATCATCACCATTCCAAAAAGATTTTTTCAATAATAACTTGTACCATTTTACAGTCATCATGACACCATTTTCATTTCCTACTTATTTTAAGTGCCTATGGTACTAACATGGAATCACATGCCTTCTACTATAAGATTGATTTCAACATGATAAGTCATTGGAACAATATAATTAGAATAACATAATTTTATTATGTTAAGCTTTATTTTTATTTATTTTTTATAAAAGTTTTTCAAATGTGTCTATATAATTTCAAATAAACAATAAATTTATTATACTAACAAATTATGTTATTTCAATTGAGATTTTATTAATCTCTTATGAGAATTATGTCATGTGAAATTTTTTATTATGATTGCATTATGTAATTTATCATTCATTACTGATTTTTATTTTTATTATTTTGTTTTTATATGGTGCCTACAAATGAGGGGACGAGCTTAAAAAAGAGAGAGGATCTTATTACGAAGAGAGAGGGACAAGCTTAAAAAGAGAGGGATCTTATTAAGAGGAGAGAGGGATCTTATTACGAAGAGAGAGGTCAGGAATAGGGTAGGCAAAAACACACGTTAAATATTTCCAAAATTACCCTTCACTCCCTGATTTTTAACGGTGTAATGGATTTCTTGATTTTTTTGAGAAATATCGCTCATCTCTTTTCATTTCCATTTCCTTACAATTAAGTGTACCCAAACAATAGAAATGTCATATTTCCTTGTAATCTATTGTAACGTAATAGATTTTCAGGTACCCAACGGTCCTTGTAATCTAGTATCACGTAATAGATTTCCAGATAGGTTTGAGATCTCTTTTCTTAATTTTCTAAATAAAATTGAGAGAGCCTTTTTTCTCCTCTCACAACAAACCTCAGGATTTGCCAAGTGTTGATTGTCTGTATTAGTGAATTTCGTCCATGCTTTCCTGCTGTGCCTGCAGCAACAAAAATATAAAAAACATAAATAAGTATACTGGATACGTGAAAATGCAGCATCTAAAAACAGTATTTTAAAATTCGGGTCGGTAGAATGGATCGCCCACCTACCGATCACAATCTGGATTGGCTGAATCGGCAATCCAGTAAAATAATAATAATAATTATAATAATAGTAATAATAACAATAGATATAATAATAATAATAATAATAATAGAAAATAATTAAATAGTAAATATATAAGAACTACTATAAATAACTTGAAGAAACTAATTGGCTAGACCTTATGTTAACAACCACAAAGTTGGAGGTTCGAGTTCTCCCTTTTCTTAAGGTTTAAAATAACTAATTAAACACATTTGATAGGGTGTGGTTTCTATAAGGTTGACACCTTAAACAATCCAATTAAGGCGCACCTCCAAATTTTATCATAACATGTAATTTTGGGGTAAAATTTTCTGAACAATATCTCAAAATCTATTTCCATATCCTAATTATAAAATGTTTAACTCCAAAAATTGGTAAAATCAAGTAGATCTATAAACATATGAAAATCTTGAAAATGGACGGCCTAGATAATGTGTTGCAAGATTCACTATTTTTTTACTCAAAATATTTGTATTTTTCATATTCATACATCTCGATGTCGAGATGATCAATTAGAGGGTTTGTCAACATTAAAACAACCTTTTCCGATGGATTTTGGAGGTGCATCTTTAATTCTACATTTTAAGGTTGCAACCTTAAATAAACTTTTTCCTATTATATACTATGTAATATAGTATATCATATATTAAAATGTTAAGAAAAAAGCGTGTCTAGGGTGGCTCGAACCTCCGAACTTATAGCAAAGGTCGAAGCACTCTAAGAAATAGAACCATTAAAAATTGTGATATGATTCATATATTATATATTAAATGAACAGCAACTCCGGATCAGTGACTCCCAATCCAAATTGGTGATTTTTTAATCAATGTGTGAAACTACAGAAATTATGCTTTACAAGGGCTACAAAACAACATACTAAAACACCAGTAAATATACAGTAATAGAAAAGCAAACTTCATGACCTCCCAACGAGGGCTTCAAGGTGTGGATCCAGCTCCAGGCGATATTTGCTAAGATATGAATTCAATTCATCAGTGCCGAGTACCTGGGAGAAAAAAAAAAAAAGAACTTCTATTACTCTAGAAGTTTTTCACTCTCTCCAGAAGTAACGCTTGAATGAATTAACATAACTCTTCTACAATTTGAAATGATACCTTCCTAGAGGATTGTACAACTATGATCAATGACGGTTAACTTGCAGAAGAACTCATTCTTGAATTGGTCAAGTGTTTCCTTCTAACCTAGATTTCCTCATGCTACAGTTGCCATGTAAGGAGTTATGCCTTTTTCAGTATTTGTATACAAATGGGCATATGGACAAAAGTTCTGCATCACTTTGAGGTTCTGTGATGATGGCCACATCAATTGGGTTTAGTGGATTAGAAAATTATAGGAGGTCCAATGTTCATGAATATTGCATGTGAACATGGGCACATAAAATGTAGAAAGCTTCAGCTGGTTAGCATTGGCTAAGGATCTTAGTGCATCATAAATGCAACTACTGAATAATATGAGATGTCCCAAGAAATGATACATTATTAATATGAATTTTATTTAGGTGGAAATTAGATTTCGCATGCCATGAAAGGACTGACTGCTTAGGGAGGATGATGGGATTGGGGTAGAAGTTGGGGTAACCAATGAAAGTGATACAGGAATGTGTAGCATGACTAGATAAGAAATTGGTACATCATAAATGTACATGTGTGTATACAAAAATGGTAAGGTATATGCCATTAACGTTACTCTCCTTGATATGCAAATATATTTAATATATGTAACATTTAAAGAAAAACCTAGATAACACATTTTATTTTTCTGGAAGTTTTATTTTCCAAAGGAATCATGTGGAAGTTTTATTTCCAAAGGAATCACGTGAAAACTATGTTACAAAAGTCTTTGACATGTCAACAAATTTTGAATTTGTTATTCAAAGATAAATCTAGGAGATCACTGACAACTAATAGATGAAACCATTCATATGATAATCCAAACTAGAACAATAAACGGCAATCCACATTCCTTTCCCACAGGAATAGTTACGAATCTCAATCATAGCAGCCATAAAACATAAAAAATTTACTACAAAATACATTCATACCACAGAACCAAATTGGGATTTGATGTTCAAAAAGGAGAGGCAAATCATAATCCATTCCAAAAACTGAATATGGAGGATCCAATTTTAAGGACATCGGATCTGGGGAACTTCAAGCTCAATCAAATTTTTTATCTTGAGGGAATTGATTTTAGGATGCATCAAATATGCTTTAAGAAAATTTCAAGTCAAACAAACAACCCGACTGTTTTGAACATGGGACCAAATGTACACTTTTGTCATGCAGGACCTATGTATACACACATCCAACATAGTCTTCTCCATATAGACATGGAGAAAACCAGAATTTTTTTGTATTTCTAACTTTACAGCATTAGCCCATACGAGACAACAATATTGATCCACACATAGCTCCCATTCTTAGAATACGAATTTAAAGAAATCTGATATCTAAGATTTCATATTCCAAGAGTCCACATGAACCATTGAACCAACTACAAAAACAACATTTCAGATAAAATTAGTGTCAATCATAACAGCAACGAAAACGCTAACAGCCACTGCCCATTATAGAAAATGCTGCTCAATCATGGGCAGTACTTGGAAAATAACAGCTGCCATAAGATGAGGATGCCCAAGAGGTCTAAATTATTCAACCACATTATGCAGCTATCAAGAATTAGACAAGCATGGCCCAGTGTGAACAAGCCAACCAAAATGATCTGGGCACATGTAAAAATGGCCAATGGTGACCTATCACTAATTTGAAGTCTCCACTCACTACAAACAACAAAAGTTGAAAGACTGCAAACGAGACAAAAAACAAGTGAACAGGAAAACCATTGAAATTCAGCATAGACTCAGATGGATCATGGATTGACTAAGTTTGATCCAGTGTGCTAACAAAAAGTAGAAGATGTGATATTCTAGAATTAAATAGGAAGTTGGAGAACCAAGGGAACTCGGAAAAGAACCAGAAACCTAGCAAAAAGGTAAATCCAGACAACTCAAAACATTATGATCTCAGATCAAATGGCTTGCAAGAGTGCCACTCACATAAGGCACACTCCAATACAGCAGGAGAAACAAATTACAGAAAGTGAAGAACAATCATTAGATTCTTGTTGACGAATCCAAAATTCTTGAGTCTAAATAGTCCCCTTTCTAACCGAGATAACAAGATCTGAAAAAATAAAGAGAATGTCTAAAAACGTAAATCCTTTAACTTACTACCATGAGCAGTTATTTAAGATACATAGATTCTTTAATAAAAAGAAACCTCTTTGCTACCAAAACTAGTGAGAACTCAAGGTTGAATACTGTGAGTGGATCCTCTCTCACCTAATAAGTTATAAGAAACCAAAGCTGATTATTAGGTTAGAGACCTTTTTTTTCTATTAACGGACGACAATTATGTTAGCAACTTTTTCAAGAGAGACTCTTGTGAATTCTTATTTGAGGTCGATCCATATATAAAAGACGATTGGTGTGCTGTGCAATCCTCGAATGACTTTATCAAAACTAGTTGCTTTGTCAATTCTCTAATGGCCTATTTGGGTACCTGGATTGGACTCTCCAGGATAAGGTTATCAAAGTATTGGGCCCTTATCCCTCGTTTGGGTAACACATTCTTTTTTTGAGAAAGTTAACTTTGTATTACTGAAAAGTGAGATTACAAACACAACTATCAGGTATGCTATTCCTCGTTTGGGTATCAGATTCACACTTGGATAGCTGAATCCCAGAGAGTGACCCATCCACGTTTTTGGGCAAAAAACGTGGAGAAGGCTATTGCACCAAAATAGGTGGAATAGGGCTATCCACGGTTTTTTTGATTGGCCAATCCCCATTGAACCCGAAATTTTACAATTCATTCAAGTTAATTTGGAAGATTAAGATCCGCGAATCACAAAGACATCTTCCTTAAATATTATATTATATATTATAAATAATAATATAATATTATATATTATAAAAAATATAAAAAATATTTATATTATCTATAATAAAATATATATTAATAACATAAATATATATATGTAATATATACACCATAATATAATATGTAATAAAAAATATTTTATATTTATTTTATTAATGCATATTTCTCCACCTCTTAAAGAGAAAGTACTTTCGTTATATAATATAATATTAATTATATAATATAGATCATATATAATGTATATAATATGCATATTACATATATAATATATAGTACATATATTATATAGATATATAATATATATTAATTATATAACATATAGTACAAATATATATTATAATATATTATATACATCATATTTTATTTTATATATATATATATAATATGTATAATATAATACATAAATACACTATAATATTATATATTTCCTCTATGTATATTATATATATATATATATAATATATAGTATATAAATATCATATATTACATATATTATACATAATAAATATATATTTTAAATAATACAATTACATTAATAAAATATAATATAATACAAAGTATATTATATGTAATAAAAACTATTATATATTTATATTTTATTATACTATATTATATACATTATATAATATTCTATAAGTACATATTTATAAAATATGTATAATACATTTATGTATTATACTATAATATTATATATTTCCCCTAATGTTATATACTATAGTATGATATAAAATAATACATTATTTATATAAATTATTATTTATATATTATACATTAATTATTATTGCAATATAATTTGTTTATTAAGTATATGATTAATATGTAAATAAAATAATATAGTAATACATTAAAAATTATTTCATGCAGGCTGGACCGCATTTTTACATATGCAGTCCAGAAGTGTAAAGCATCCATCTTAAAGATGGATTCAAGTAGGTGGTCCATCTAAAAACAATGGAAATTAACAGTCCAAATGTTTTCGTAAGGATAGAATCTTCAGAATGTAAGATATCTATACATAAGGACATAATGGAAAGATAAGGATTTCATCTTAGTTAGAAAATAATATTGAAGTTTAGAATCAATGGGAGAAGTTAATCAGTATAAAATTAAATGTAGTATAATAATATAAAAATTGCAACTGTATATTAATGGATTCACATCTTCTAGGCAATCCAAATAGAGGACAGGCATATTCCATGTTTCTTATTAGAAGTGCTATCTAAACAGCAGACACCCCTATCCCAGGGACAGACCAATTCCCGGATAACCCAGTTCCAGGCGAAGCCTAGTGTCAGGACAGGCTCGCTAGGTACCCAAACAGGCCCTAAATTGGACTCTCCAAGATAAGGCTATCCAGGTATTGGGCCCTTATCCCTTGTTTGGATAACACATTCACGCGTGGATAGCTGAATCCTTGAGAGTGGCCAATCCATGTTTTTGGGCCAAAAACGTAGAGAATGCTATTCCACCAAAATAAGTGGAATAGAGCTATCCACGGTTTTTGGATTGGCCAATCCCAGTCGGACTCTCGAAATTTTACAATTCATTCAAGTTAATTTGGAACATTGAGGTTTGCAAATCACAAAGATATCTTACTTATATATTATATTATACATTACATATAATATAATATATATTTATATTATATATAATATATATTTAACAACATAAATATATACATATATAATATAGGTGCAGTTGGCATACGGACACCTCCGTAGGTGTAGAGGTAAGGTGCCCTTCAGATTTTATCATGGTATATAATTTTGATGTACAATGTTATTAGGATTATCTCAAAATCTATTTTTATATCTAATTATAAAATTTTAAATTTACAAAAATGGTTAAAATGAAGTACATCTATAAAC